ACTTCCTCAGCTTCCCTAGGAGGATATTATGGGAGACTGTGTCGAAAGTCTTGCTGAAGTCAAGGTAGACAACATCCATGGCTCTCCCTTCATCTACCCAGCCAGTCCTGTCATTGTAGAAAGCTATCAGATTGGTCAGGCATGATTTCCCTTTGGTGAATCCATGCTGACTACTCCTGATAACCTTCTTTTCTTCCACTTGCTTGATGATGGCCTCCAGGATAAGCTGCTCCATCACCTTTCCCGGGATGGAGGTGAGGCTGACCGGCCTGTAGTTCCCTGGGTCCTCCTTCTTGCCCTTTTTGAAGATTGGAGTGACATAAGTGGTAGACCCTCCTGTTTTTCCTGAGTCCCAGCAAAAGCTCCCTGTTCAGCCAGGCTGGTCGTCTTCCCCGCCGGTTCATCTTGCAGCACATGGGGACAGGCTGCTCCCGTGCCTTTAAGACTTCCTCCTTGAAGAATGTCCAGCCTGCCTGGACCCCTTTGTCCTTCGACACTCTCCCCCAGGCGACCCTCTCAACTAGCACCCTGAACAGGTCAAAGTCTGACATCTGGAAGTCCATGGTGGTGGTTTTGGTGGCCCCCCTCTTTACTTCCCCACAAACCGAGAACTGTATCATTTCATGGTCGCTAAGCCCAAGATATCCTCTGACCACCACATCTCCCACCAGTCCTGCTCTTTTAGTAAACAGCAGGTCAAGCAAGCCACCTCCACTGGTAGGCTCACTTACCAGCTGCATCAGGAAGTTATCTTCCACACACTCCAGGAACCTGCTAGATTGTTTCCTCTCTGCTGTGTTGTATTTCCCACAGATGTCTGGTAAGTTAGGACCCCACGAGAACAAGGGCTAGTGATTGTGAGACTTCTGCCAGCCTCTTGTAGACAACTTGATCTACCTCTTCATCCTGAATGGGTGGTCTAAAATAGACCTCCAGCAGGATGTCTGCCTTGTTGACTTTCCCCCTCATCTTTACCCTTAAGCACTCGACTTTGTCATCACAATCGTTGAGCTCTATACAATCAAAGCAGTCCCTAACATACAGAGCTGACGTATGTATGTGACGCTTCATACCAACTCTGAAAATCTGCCTGTGAAAACTGCAGGTAAAGGATAATTCAAGTAACAATGATATCATATTTGTCCCCAGTTGTTCTGAAAGACTATGGAATGGTGCCATATATCAAGATATTTTTGGATGATGAGTGCTACAGGAGTGCTACTCTCAGCATCTTGGAGCAGCTATCAGTCATCAACTATGAAGAATATATGAGCATTATTATTGGGGCTCTCTGTTCTTCTACTCAAGGGGAATTACACTTAAAACTAGATCTGCTGAAGGTAATTGATATGGCTTCCCACTTGGTTGTTGCTTTCTTGGAAACTGCTTGGCTTGTGGCAAATTGCTCTTAATCTCACCCCTAGCACTGGGCTTTTTCCACGAAGGTAAGTGCAGAAGAAGAAAGAGCCATGGGTTAGTTTTTGATTCTGGTAAACTGGACACTTATGTGTGTGGTCCACAAGTTCACTCACTATCAGATTGTGAAGTGTTTTGAAGACTTAAATAGTAATGCAGGATGGAGAAATGGAAATGGGAAAGAGCACAGTTGTATGAGTAGTTCTATGTCATGTGACAGAGAAGGGAGAAACAAATGTGAATGAAAGTGGAGGAGATGTGGAAGGAGGAAGCAGGAAGGTGTAAAGGAGTAAGATTGGAAGGGGCAGGGTAGGCATGAGGTGAACAGCTTGATTCTGAGAAGTTTCCAAGGTTGAAACTTTGCTGTCCTTTATTTTGTCATCTCTCACATACACCAGTGTCATGGAAAGAGAGATGCGAGGTCATGGAAAGGAGGAGTCTTATGAAAGTTTGGAGGAAGAAATTAGAACTATTCATAGCCTCTATTGTGTTTATAGAGGGTATGATCCATAAACAATGAAGCAGGGGAAAGAATCAGTGAGCTTTATTTTCATTTAGATAATAGATATCAAATTGAAAAGCAGCAGTGTTGTAAGCACATATTTAAAGTTTCATTCTACCTTCTCAACCAAGCATGAACTGAATTCACCTTTCAGTACAATAAGCAGCTGATTCGGTGTTAGAACCACCATGTTACTTTAAAAAAAACAAAAATATGACAAAGTTTACAGCATTGATTTGAAACTGTAAACTTTAACAATATTTGTGGAAAAGTTGAGTATGGTGTCCAAACTAATATGAAAATTAATGCAGCTTCAGCGTCTAATTTTGACAAATTATAACTGTATTAAAACATAATTTAAGCAAATGAATTTATTATCTACATCCATTGAGACTGTGATTGTGTTACACACAAATTCAGATTGATTTGCTAATATGTATTTAGCTGTTAAAGCCTGAGCCCAAATGCAATTAGCACTGCCGTATTCCAGCGTGGCACGTGGACAATTATGAGGAATAACAAATAATGGAATGTGAAATAAATTCTGTTAAGGTTAACTGAGTTAGGGGGTTTCCAGTAGACATCAGTTTTGTAGATTGAAGACAGAGGAATACTAACTCATAGGCAATTAAATTCTAACTGAGTCAGAGCTGGAGGAAATGTGGTTACTGTTGACCTTCTCTGAAATGTGTTAAAGCCATCCTGATAACTTCAGCTCTGAGTTATTAAATTTACTCCCTGTTCAGAAGTCGCTGCCTGGTTTGATGCATTGTCATCCAAAATTGAATGACAGTAATGGAGTTCCCCCTCCCCCTCCAGTTCTGGCAACCCTTTCTCACGGTCCTAGATCCTGTTACAGGGAGATATATTTATGTGAGAAACTGTTCCTCTTCAGCAGGTTATGAAGTGAACCTCTTTCATTGCATATCTGTTGGGAAACTTTATATGTAAAATTAACGCTTTCCAATGTGAAAAGGTAAGGCCTCAGATTTGAAAGGTCCCTGGTTCCTGAAAGAGCATCATATTTACAAAATGATTTGTGCAACATTCCAAAAACTTTGCAAGCTCTTTTTTCTCACTAATTTTACTTCCACCACTACAACTCTTATTAAATTTTCCAGATTTGTTTGAAAATGGCAAGCCCATAGCTTTCAAAGTTTACACATGGTGTAGGTTGGTTATTATGCATATGTAATATTGTCAAGTGGCATTCATTTATAATCTACTTTAAGCCCACTGGAGTTAGATAAAATCTAATGACTTTGTTATCTTGGGATCTGACTCTTTACGGCTTTTTTCCTCCAAAGTATTGCGCAAACTTTAAAAATACCTCTGCTGAGAAAGGGAATTATTAGGGCCTTGGTTAATGAGGAGAGCCTGATGCTTGCAGTATTCTTTGGGCCATGTTGTGTCACTGCTTTTTTGGAAAGGGTCTGCTCAGTCACACGAGCAAAAGTCTAGTGTGGCTCCTCATGTGTATTCAGGGCTGTAGGAAGACTTGCCTGTAAAGAGCTGTGCCACCTTCTCAGTTCCTATATGAGGTTATTTACAAATCAATCTTTCCTTTAATTTATTTAAGGCAGAGGCAGATTTTTTGAGAGTGCTTGAGAAGACTCATGAAAGGATAGACAAAGGTCTGAAACAGTATCCCTGGACAAACTGACTAGGATATATAATGCAGGAAATTTGATTTATTTGCTTATTCCTGTGAGCACTATTCCCTACCTGTCAGGCTGACTATATAGGTTAGTCCTGGGGGTGCATTCAAGTCTTGGTTGTTTGACTCATTTTGTATACAAGCAAAGCAAGGAAAAGAAAAGTTGTGCAGTGGTGACCTTTAATTTGACCAACTTTTATTTTTCTTCAAAGAGTGAAATTCCAATGAAAGAATTTTGCTACAAACTTGGAATTTTAAAATATTCTAAAGCTTCTTTGTCCCTTGGTTTAAGTGCTTCTTTTGTCTCCTTTCTTCCCAATGTTTATAGTCACTCCTGAGGATACTGGAGAGTCCCAAGAGCCACTCAGCTTTTAGAACCTGCAGTGGATTCAATGGACTGCTGTCCCTTCTCTCAGACATGGAAGGTGCATTGCAGGACCCTCCACGTGGGCTGTGGACAGCAGTTGGACAAAACTGCTTACTGGAGCTGGTTTTCTACACGCTTCAGGGGATAACAGCAGCCCTGCACCTGAACCCTGTCAATAACAACTTCTTCCAGAGGAATGGTCTCTTTGAAAAGATGGCAGAGGATCTTGGGTCACTGGGATGCTTCTGGACACAAGCGGAATGGCAAAGCCCTCTGAACCTTGAGAAGACAAGGACATTTGCAGAATTCTTGGATGCAGCTTTCTGCTCTTCAGAACCTTTCCCAAAGTGGCTTAAGAACTGCATATGGATTCTGAATTTTCTTGATCACATGGTCAAAGGAACCCTTCATCTGCAGAGTTACTTCACGGAGAGAAACCTGGACATGGGAGAGGCATCAAGAGATGATCACGAGAGACCCTCAGCTCAAGAAGAGCATCTTGTTGCTTTTAAAAGACCAGGCAACAAATTACCTGCCTCTGCCTATGGGCTATGGGGAAACCATGAAAACAAGTAAGTCTTGATTTACTGCAGGAAATATAATAGTAAGACTGGTATCTGATTTTTATATGGTAGTAAACTGAGGTAAGGTGTAACATAACCTGCCTAAAACAAAAAAATCTGTGCCACAGTCCCAACTCCCAGGCCTCTAGACAGTAGAAATCACCTCTTTTTGAAAGGTAAATGATGGTAAACATTGGGGCATAAAGTGTTCAGTGGAGCAGTGAGAGTTGCAGCATTTGTGCTGAAGGTTCTGACACATGCAATGTGGGAGCAGGACTGGGCTCTAAGGAAAGAGTTGCTGGAACTTGAAGCTTGTATTTAGTCTCTGCTTGAATCCGCTGCAATTAATTTTGACTTTTTCGATTATGTGAAAAGCTGTTTCCAGTCATCTGATACATTAAAAATCAAAACTATTTTAAGTTGTTTTAAATGCTCCCCCATGCATTTGTGTCCAAGCACGTGTGTACAGACACACACACTCTCACTTTACTCATACATCTGAAATAGATAAAGTTGGAAAACGAACAGTAGTGCTGCCTGCCTCTTATAATGAAGGACTATACCAAAATATATATCCTTTGCAGGAAGGAAAAACTACACCACAAATCAATGTAGCTGTTAGCTGTGAATCAATTCTGAATAACTTGCATTTCGTAACTTGTGAGATCTACTGTCCCTTCACGTGTCTGTAGCTTTATCTTGGATCTCTTAGTACTTTTCTCAAAGGTGTTCCTGGTTAGAGTTATGCTTAAAAAAGCTAAGTTTATAACTCTGAGATTCCTTCAGCCCTTACAGTAGCTTGTTCCACAGTCGTCTTCCAGGTTTAAAGGCCAAGCCATTAGGTCTACGACATAGCTAGCAGTCACTGAAGTCAGCAGAACTTTTGTTCCGTGAGTACTGAAGCAGACTGACTAAGTATGTCTGGTCGTATTTGTACTTATTTGAAGCAACTAGAAAAACCTGCAGTAGGTTTCTTTTCTCGTTGTGCAACTGATTTTAAAATAGTCATGGAGACATTTGCTGCCTGTCATCACTCTTCAAATTACACTAGAAGCTTCTGGTTAGACACTCAGTGCTGGGGAGAGGACTTGGTGGCTCAGGAAGAAGGAATACAATACACTTTTCAAAGTGGATCTTCCCAGCCCCATTTGAGTGAATGTGGGTCAATATGCAGTGTATGTATGGTGGTGGTGGTTGTGAGAAGTCCATAGCTTGTAGCTTAGGTGTGTGTATAAAGGAGGCTCAGGGAAACCAAGCGAGAAAGAGTAGATCAGTGGCAATGCTGGGAAGGGTATGGCTCTGTCTTCTGTTTGTCTTTCTCAAGTTACTGGATCCGAAACGTAAAGCAAAGCTTCCTAGGTCCTTATGTTGTTTTGACTGCTGAGCTGCGAGTCTGTGCAGTAACTGAATGAATACCACTTCTGGAGAAATTAATCATGTAAATTGGGATCCATTCAGTTCACTGTGTCTAGCTGGGATGTGAAAGCACAAAAAGAAGCCAGATTAACTAGAAGTGGCTGGAGAGTGCCCAGGACGTGTGTGTGCAAACACAGCAGAGGAACATGTACTGGCAAGCTGTCAATCTTCAGACCACACAGCCTGTATCCCTTTCCAGCAGTAAATTTTCTGAAAATAAAAAATTCCTGCAAGCCTGTGGTTTCCCTGTCGCGGCTTCTTCTTAGCTATACTCCACGCTCACACTTCCTCCTGAAAAAGGCGTCAACCTGGGGCTATGCAGCTTGAAAGGAGGAACTTGAGTGCAGTCAGTGTAGGTGGCCTGTGATGCCCCATCCCACAACATGTATTCAGCATTCCCAAAGAGGGGGAAAGGAGGTGATCCTATGGGAGGCTGTGACTGAGACACAGGGAAATCAGTATTTTAACTGGATAATATTCTAGCCCCTTATGCTATCCTGTGGTCAAAGTGCTGCAAGCTGCTGTGCCACAGGGGAGTCGACCCTTTCATTCCCATTAGAAAAACAGCCCTCTGTGTTCCTGCTCCTGCATTAATGTTTGAAACACCTTCTGTGGCAGATGGGGGTCTCTGTTTTTCCTTTTGCTCCTGGTAATTAGCGACAGCTTGCTGCAAGCTGTGTTAACTGAGACTGATCTCTCTTTGGGTAGGAACCCCCTCTTCGTGCCCACCCTAGCAAAGCAGCTGCTGCAGCTGCTGTTTCCACAGACTCACTGTGCTAATGGCTGTTCAGGTTCTTTGCGGCATCTCATTGTGTCCCCAAACCCTTTTATTTGTCTTACTTTTAAGTAGCAGCCAGTGCAGGGCATATTTGGGATTCACACCATGAGGCTGGTGGGGTAGATGGAGTGGAGTCATGGGGCTGACGGAGAGTCCTAAGGCAGGAGTGCAAGAGATTAATATATTTGCAGGAGTAAGGAGTTGTTACATGTAGACAGCTTTTGTACTAAGACAAGCCAGAAAAAGAGAGCCTCTTGGAAAACCACAGAGAAGGCTGGAGATAACGCTTATATAATACTCTTAACGGGAAGCAAGTGTGCAGTGCTGGCAGGGAAGCTGAGGTGTAGTTTGATGCTGGTCAGGGACTCTGGATTTTCCCTCTTTCTTGTTCCTTCTTAACAGCCCTGGAGAGTGCTAAACCTGCCAGGCAGTGCTCAAAAATAAGCAAAAATCTCCTTATAGTTATGACAATGTCTTAACTATTTCATGACTTTATTTTTTAAAGGATCACTTTCCGTTATTGTCTTGTGATATTCACATTTTGTTAGCTCACTTTTTACCTTTACTACACTTCATATGTGTTGTAGAAAAAACTCTCTACAGGAAACAAAAATTTTGAGATTCAGAGGTAAACATATTTCTTCAGTGTCTAAGTCTTTAGGAAGACTGGTGCATTGTAGGAGACCTGGACACACTGCTTGGCAATGTATTTTTACAGTGCTAGAGATGGAAGTTTGAATCAAATTGAAAGTTTGGGGAGTCAGTCCTTGAATACAGTGGCTTAGGCTAAAAATGAACTTGCTCTGGGGAGCACAGCTGCAGCTGGAAAACAGACTGAAATTTCGAGCCTATTTACTCTAGTGGACCTGGATTATTCTCTTTAAAGGTGGTTAGGATTTTTGGGGGGATGTGGGAGGAGACAATATTTTCAGTGTGTTCTTTTTTCGTGTTAAACATTCACAAACTCACCCACATTCTTGTCAAGTACAAGTGTATGTGTCCACACTGGAGCCACTGCTGCAGTAAAGCTTTATATCAATCTGATTTTGATTCGTTACACAGAAAATATTGCAAATTAGCAATTTCTTTTAAAGTATCTTTCTTGAGGGTGCAGTAAGAATTATTTGTCACTGTGTGGCAGTGTGCTACACATTACTAGCTGCTCTGACGTATCAGATGAGCCTTTTGGAAGCGGCTAAACTGTTAATCGCAGCCTTTTTACCCTCCTTTTGTTCCTTTGTAAAACCTTTTTTTTTTTTTTTTTAATGCTCACTTTTACATGTACTCTTTGTTTTATACAGTTCATAAAGCATATTATGCTTTACTTTTTCAGTCTAATTACGGCTGTTAGATGTTGCCTTCACTTTTCTCACTAGATCTATTTGGGAAGAGGTTTCTGACAGTGCACATCACAACTCCGGTTCAGAGGTGCCTCAGAAATGCTGATGATACTCTGAACGTGATGAGTCTGCAGTGTCTAAACTAGACTTACTGCTATGTGGTTGCTTCATCTTTGAGATGTATCACTCTGATGCCTCAGTTCCTTCCTGTGACTGAATGTACAAAGGTGATATGTGGGAAAAACAAAAACTGGTGTGGAAGCACAGATATTTAACTTTCTTTTACTAGTTTAGGCAGATTCTGGAGTTGGAAGGGAAGGCTGATATACTCATTTCATCAAGACTATCTCATCTTTGCTTATCGTTATTTTGGTTTGAAAATACTGAAGTTCTTCTCTGATCAAGTTACAGACTGCTTGAAAATAGAAAATATAATGCTAGTTCTGGGCTGATGCATTAGAGTGGTCCCTCTGGTTGTCTGCTGTCTGTACTGCAACTATCTTCAAATGCAAAGTCTGTTTAATCAGGCTGCTACACATCTTTGAATGTACAGGTCCCTGAGATGTGAGATCATGAGCAGGTTGTCCTGTCCTTGTTACTCTAAGGTGGCTTCCAGCTGTTACAGGTCATCTGTATTGTTTGCTTAATTTCAAATCCTGAGCCTGATTACTGCTAGGAGGATTTAATGCTGTAATCTACTGGAACATTGTTGGACCCTTTTCGCTGTTGTTAATGATAATTATGATGATAAGTCTTATACATCTTTTTCCTGTAGGTGGGAAATGGAAGACTGCACCATTGTACATCCAGGTGCTGTCTGTGTTATGGTGAGGTTGCTGCCAAAGCTGTACAAAGAGGGACACTCTCAGGTGAGTCTGAACATACCAAAGTGCCATCTAAACAGTGCCTGCTACTTTTCTGTAGCTTCATTTAAAATAATTGCTTACTCTTTGCAGATGTGGAAGTACTAAAATTTACCTAGAACCCTGGCAGAAAGAACAGCTTTAATTTTACTGAGTCAACAGATAGAAGAACAACAAAGGCTCTTGGCTATCACTTAGTTTGATTAACTGTTTCTGTGCCTGTCTGATGTAATTCATGGATCTTGGTCCCAGAAAACTTTCTGCAAAGACACAAGTGTACAAGTCCCTTGAAAATTGTTTAAAATATTGCTAATGGACATAGCAAGCAGAACAGTCTGGCTCTTCAGGCCTAACGGTCCATAAACTTTCAATGCCGCTAAAGATCTCCTTTGTTTTGTCAAACCTGCCATATGCACTCCCACTCTGAATAAGTATATTGCCTATATGGTATCTGCTATCTGGTCTAAAATACTTGAATACAGTTAAAGTACATACGGAGAGATCGAAATAAAACCAGATTGTTCATCCAGAGCTATGGAAGGTGGGAGTGCAACTAATTGCTGGCACTTCCCAACTCTGTGTAGTGGAACCAAGCCAGCAGCTAGTGAAATTTTTATTACAGTAATTAATTTCTGAAAAACAAGTAAAACGGTTAATTGAATGAGAGAAAGTGTCATCAAGAAACTATCGGAGTTGACTCTAGGGCCGATCTGTATGAAAGAGAAAGCCACTCAGAACCACAGTAGATGGCAGTGTTCTTAAAAATATAAAGGTCTAGAGCACAACTTCCAGCAATTTCAGTTATGTGTTAAAGTGCTTTAATGTTTTCTTCTTTTTCACTCCTTTTTTCTTAGTCAACAAGAAATTATTACTGATAGTTTTTGTTTAGTATTGCTGCTGTTAACAGGATTGTTTCAGGTAAAACTTGACCACTGTTATGCAGGGTCCTGAGTCAGACTCCAGCTAGAAGTTAACACATGTCCTGAAGAGTTTTTTTGTCAAATGACCCACAAAAAAGAATAGAGGAAAGGAGAATTTTTCTGGCTAATTCTATTTAAAGGTGGTTGAGAGAATGAGTGGAACATCATGTCCCACAGCTTGGTCAGCTCACTTGTGCTACCAGGTAGTGACACAAAAGGCTGGACTTCAGTACCATTACTCCTAACACATACCACTGCATGAACCCTTGTGAGATAAGGTGCTACTTGGAATATAGGCGTCAGGCAAGATCTGATGCAAAAGGTGGATGGCAGTGGCTAGAGAAGGGGAGCTACTTAGTAGAAGGACAATAACTGAAGGGCTTTCCCTTTGAATAGATATATTCTGTCCCAAACAGGGTACTATTCTTTCTTTCAGTGCAGCAGTATTTGCCAGCTATAAGAGAGATGAAATAATATCTTTGTGAATGGAGATTTTGTACTGTAGACTTTCATTCAAAAACCTGAAGGGGCTTCTTGCTCTGAGTGTAAGCCTGACTCAAATATTACATTTTTTAGGAGCAGTGGTGAAGGACAGATAGTAACTCATTTCTTTCTGTTTGTTTTAGTGCTGTCATAGGTCTTTTAGGGCTAGGTGTTCAGTATTAATCTGGAAAAATCTTCAGAATCAGTTCAGGTCATGTGCAAATACTTTGCTTTCACAGAAATGCCAATAAGAAAGCACTGCTTTTACAGAAACATTAATGGAACTCAATCATAATGTACTTTGACCCTCAGAGATAATATCCATTTCCTGCCAAATTTGCTGCTTCTCAGTGGCCTTTGTCAGACCCAGACAGTGATGGACTGAACCTACGTTTAGCCTGTCAGCACAGAAAAAACAGTAGCAGACAGGAAAACAGGTGGCCTTGCACTTCAGCCATTTCTTCTGACTGTCTAGAATGAGAATTAAAGGCTGAGGAGATTAGATATGTGGTTGTATATTACTGTCCTTCCTAGGTATGAGCAAAAATCATTTTCATGTCATATGGATATGATAATTTGCTTGAAAGCCTTAACCCCCCACAAGAGACAGTCTTTGAGTCAGTAAACTGTGTTCAGAGGTTATTGCTCATGTTCATGCCTAGGACTGGTACTAAGCCAGTTCCCATCAAACCCCATAGAGTTTGACCAAATACCGGGTGGATTTTCCTTTTGTTAACATGCTGCTTGTTCAGTGATGAGAAACAGCATTGTCACATGTTTTGAAAGCTAAGTACAAATGAGAAACATTAACATCCACTTTAGATATGTGGCTCAGGATATTCACAGTTTTTTTCCTGCCTCAAGAAGAAAGAAGTTTCCCCTCAGACATATCTATCTAACCCTTGTCTGGCATTTTGGAACTGTGGCTTTTAAGACTCCAGAGTGCCATGCCAGATCTTTTCCATTTGCAATATCAGATAAGGAGATCTCCTGTATCTGACAAGGCTGGGTAAGGAAAAGACAAGAATTTTTGAGAAAAGAATCAAAGCATGATTCAGTTCTATGTCATCATCCTGGCAGGCTTCTTGTGAGTATGGACAAAAAAATCCTCACATGATTCATTATGTAAATTATCTGTACTTTTATTACATAATATTGTTGCTTCCACAGCTGGATTTACCCTATTTTTATCCATGTCTCTCCTATGATGGAATGCTGTCATATTAATTGTTGCAAAACTAAAATATTGTGCATCAATAAGGACTTTGCACCTTTTTAAAGGACCTTTATTCCTGTTTTAAATTTATCCTAAACTAGTTGTTCTCACTGCAGATGTTAGCAACATAACACTTTCCAAGTATTTGTACTTCTTAAAAACGTAAATTCCGTCTAAACTGAAAAGGTCTCTGACATAGTTAGATATGGCCTACAGAAGACTGTGACATTTGAGATTTGTCTGCCTCCAGACATATATTATTAATATCACAGCAAATGTAACTATTAATATCACAGTGAATTCCTAAATTACTGCACTGCATTATTTGCACAAGGAAATTCTTTGGGTATTTGGCCAGAGCTTCATTCCACTTTGGGTTGTGCAGCCAGGGCTTTGGGAGAAAGGAATGGAGAATGGACTAGCTCTCTGGTAGGAGGAAGGAGACTAGAAATACCTTGGCAATGGGTCCTCCAGCTGGGCTGGTAGCTCTTTCCCCTAAGCACTTTCCTGCTGGCTTTGCTCCAGTCTTGTCTCCTGGGGAATTTTTCTTTGCTGAGCCTGTTCTGATTACGGCACATCTATTATTTTTAAAGAAAATGCACAGTCTGTCTGCATGTTCTTTTCCAAGGTTATTTTGGGGCTTTTAGTAAGAAGTTTGCTTGTTCATTGATCAACTTTTGAAGCTTTCACTGTTTATACAGACCAAACAATTTTCCTCCTCTGCTTCCAGCTCCACAGCCTGCCCTTTTATTTGTCCTGTTTCTCTTGCTATTTACTTTCTCCTTAACAAGCAGCCAGTGTTTCTCAAGTTGCACTAAAATCTTGGTAATGTACCCTGGACTGAAGAGATAGGAACTCTGCCAAGAATGCCTGGCTACTTAAACAGATTGGGAAAATTGCTAGGTGACATTTTGCCCTTAAGACTCTAAGCTGAGGCAAAGCTCTGAGCCCAGCTACGTTCTAAATGTACCTTCAATATTCTGATTCATGGTGCAAGTAATATGTGTTAAGAAAATCAATCCATGCATATAGAAACATACAGCCTGGTTTCCTGGCCACCATTAATATTTCCACTAAAATATCATTTTTCTAGAACTAAGATCCATGAAAACAGCACATTTTATTCAAAACAAGGCAATACTGGTATTGACAAAGATGCTAAGCTAATGAAAACAATCATTTTTTTTGTATGGCATTATGCTTTTATTGGTTTTATTTTGGAGTAAACCAGTAGTTTCACTTAGTCATGACAAGTGTCCTTCTCTGTTTTCATGGGGTTTTAGACATCCAGATACTTTCCTGCATCCAGTAAAAAATGGAGTAAAATAGTAATTAAAATATCTGAAAGGTTATAAGTGAGGCTTTGATACACTGTAGTACCTCTCTGTGAATAGTGTAGTTCCGTCTGGTGGATGATTTCTATGTATAATAAGATTCACAGTGAAACTTGTGTCACTGGGAATGACCAATTATTCAGAGAGAAGAAAACGTTATCCAAAGAACTCGCCCTTCAGATATCAAAAATAGTAGTTGAGTTTACAAAGACAATATGTATGTTGCCTTGGGTGTGCTAGTATTATCGTTTAAGTGTTGCAATTGGGGCTTTTGGTTGCTGAGTACTTTGGAAACAAATTGCTTATTGGTTTTGAACTTGTCCTGTACTGATTTTCAGTTTGGTCTAGACGCAAAAAAGCTAAATCCCTCTTTACACTTAAGAAGTTAGCTTATTCTGAATTCAGTGGAATTGCTTCTCATTCACGTTATGAAATCAAATCCCAGTGTCCTAATCTCCCTGTCACCATTGTTGTCCTTTTCTTTAAAATTTTGCACAGATATTTCCTAGAAGAGCATATGAGAAGGCCAAAGAGCTCTTGGCGATGGGCAACATTTTGTCCTTATAAGACTTGTGTTTAAATAAAATATGCACGGTTAGTTTTGTGTCAGATCTAGTTAGGTCAATGGGGCAGGTTCCATTCCTAATTGGGAACAAATTGCACTAAAGATAATTTATGAGAATGGAGATACATCTTTAAGACCATTACGAAGCAATAATGAAGTAAAGCTTCAATTCAGCAAAACATGTAGAGAAGTGTTTACAATTTAAGTGTTTCATGATATTGTTAGATACAGTTTTGTTTAAGAATCATGCTTTTAGAACAAAGACTAGATCATGGTCAGACATTGGAATAGGCTGTCCAGGGAGGTGGTTGAGCCACCGTCCCTGGAGGTGTTCAAAAAACGTGTAGATGTGGCACTTTGGGATATGGTTTAGTAGGCATGGTGTTGTTGAGTGGATGGTTGGACTTGATGATCTTAGAGGTCTTTTCCAACCTATGATTCTGTGTCAGTATGACTCTCCAAGTGCTTAGTGCTAAGTATTTACTGAGTTACTCTGTTGGTCTTGGAGCTTATGCATAATAACCTGTGCTTGGTGGTCGTCACTTCTTTTGAATGAGAGCTGATCTTCTCTTCTTTCACTACCATAGTGCTGTGGCAGGAAAGCTCAACTGCGGATGGCCGAACAGCTACTCAGATGGATATATGCACATTGTTCATGTGCAGAGCTTTATAGAACAGCCATGCAGTTGCACTTGAGCCTCTGGCCTTAGAGGCTTCTTTTCTAGGCCAGATTTTTACACCCAGAGGTCTGACAATTGAAACAAAATAAAAGAACAAATATCAGTCACCATGTACAGTTTTAGTTCCAGCCCACTGGCTTCAGTTCTGTGTCCATTTCAGCTTTCACAGGAAATCCAGTGTGCTGTGGTTGATCATATCCAGTCCCTGGTGAAGTCAGAGAAGAGTCGTCAGGTGATGTGTGGATCTGGCTTGTTGAGCACCATTATAACTTCCTGTCAGGATGCCTTCCGCAATGAGAGCCATCCACTGCATCTGCCCCTCACTCGAGTGTTTGAGAAGCTTGCGTCACAGGCTATTGAGCCATATGTGTTAAGGTACCAAATTGTATCTAATGGAACCAATTTGCTTTAGTGGTGCAATTTTTTTTGCAAAGTTTGTGTCATAATTAGATACTTCATGTAGTTCTCTAACTCAGCAAGACTTCTTGTTTCAAATCTCTGTTAATACTACTTACATATTAATCACAGGGTATATGCTTAAATGCCTTGCTGAAGATGGTATGAGTCTGTAGTGTTACGCTGCATCACCTCTCTGCAGGGGGTTATAAAACCATTTAGGAATGGTAACTAATGAAGTAATTACAAAACAACTAGGGTTATCCTTTCCTGGTGTTCATATGGAGAAGCTGGTTTCCTGAAGAGTAAAAGTGACTTAGCTCAAATCCATGTCAATGGCAGATGCAGAACTAAAAAGTGTGGTCTTGTTTCTCAGTCTCTCTTGTTTCTACTTTGAGGAGGTACTTTCTTCTAGAATGCTAACAAATGCTAGGCATGAGAGTACCTAATAAAGATCACAGTGCAGGTAAAGTTGGACATGCAGTGGAAGATGTGATTTATTTTACTCAAAAACGGAACAGAATTTCTTAAAAAAAATAGCAACCACCCCCCCCAAAAAAAACCCCGTAGATGTTGTAATGAAAAATTACTAGTATTCAAATGTATTGCTGAAAAAAAATAAACCTGTGATTTTTTTCAATAGGAAAACTTTGAAAGGGGAAGTGTAAAGCAAAAGAAATATTTGTGATGATACAATGGAAAATGTTCCTTCTGATTTCACAGAATCACAGAATGGTAGATATCTCCAGAGAAGGAGACTCCACAAATTCCCTGGGCAGCCTGTTCCAGTGCTCCGTCAATTTCTTTGGGATGTCTTTAAAATTTGGTATCCAATAAGAAAGTTGGTCTCTAGAGCACTGAACTGTGTTTGCATGGTTGCTATGACTCCAAAGTGTCTGGCTTGATTGTTTTTCTTTTTTTTGGTTGCTTTCTTCTTTTTATTCACATTAGGAAATTTCTTTGGTTGGGAGGTTCTCTATCACTACCTTCCAGGCCCAGCAAAAACAAGACCGATGCCCTTTCATGTCAGGGGTGTGATTCAACTGGTGCAGCTTGGAATGAAGGTAAGCGCACAATGAACAGCCTGTTGCTGATATGATGGCTAGGTTATAGATGTTTCTGTAGTAACATGAAACTGCTGCTGGAGTAATTTGCTCCAAGACAGTCACAGCGAAGGTCGAGTATGCCTGGATGTTTTAGACTGGATATTGCCCAGGTTGGGTGGTACTTGACCAACACTGAGAGCTGATCTAATGACCAGCAGAGATCAAATTATAATACGTGTGCTGAAGCCAGATGCTGATACAGACTTTGCTGGATCAGACATGGAAACAATCTATAAAAATACTAATATTCCACAGACTAAGGAGAGTGTCTCCTGGGTTTGCAGCATGTTTTCCCTGTGGTTTATAGCTAGAAATAAAGAGCACTGCTTTTTGTAATCCGTAGGATATCCTAGGAGTCTGCCTTGCTTATACAGGCCATTTTCCATCTAAGTCTTTTCCCTGTTCTAACATACTTTGCAGGTGAAGGGCTACAGTAGCAGTATTTGGCACTTAAGCTGTTCTCATGCCTACGAGACACCTGATAGAGCATGATGCAAATTCGAGTCTTATGTTCTTTGCAGTCATTCCTCAGATCCTCTCCCACATGTTGATTGTAACCATTTTTTTATGGCAGAATTGAATGGTTTGTGTACAAGAAAATTGCAACCAATGGGTCAGGAACCTTTTTTACTAGAGGTGAAGTTTGGAGATGCCTGAAGATGTGTGGGGAGAAAATACAGCTATCACTTCTGGAAGCTCTTCTATCCTGCCAGCTTCCCATTTTGAAATTCCTTCAGAACAATATTTTTGTGTATTGCTGAGGATTTCTGCAGGCTGCTGAGGATTTGTTATTTGAAGACCATGCAGCACTATTCTTAGCAGTGATGAACTGAATACAGGCAAAGCCTATGTTTGAGAAAAGTATTGCAGACACTGGTCTGGTTAGGCACTATGTTGATCTTGTAGGTTCAGAAGAGGACATGGTGGACAATAAAACTGATCCTCAGACAGCTGTGCCTGTCAGGGGCTCTCCTTGGATGTCTAAGGCATCTGCAGTGGCACTCCAGACTGCAATGAGTCTCATCTCCATGACGTCACCTCGAAACTTCCAGCTCCGCAGCACTGCTTTGGCTCCATCGTTTGTGGAGTTTGACATGTCCATGGAGGGATATGGGTATAGTTGCTGTTGCTTTTCTCTTTAGCTGCTCTGCAGTCTCCAAGTTCTTATTCTGGACACAGCAACTAACCACTTATCTCTCTGTCTTCGTCAATCCTTGTGCCCTATCGCTGCCGGCCTTGAAGTAATGTTGCCAATCTCTTTTGGTAGTGTCTTATTGCTAATAGCCTAGATTCTGCCTTTCTACCACGATTCTGCAGTAGTAAGTCACTGGTGACCTTCAGGGGTGATTTTACCTTTCCTATGTATGTATGCTTGCTTGCCTTTCTAGGTGTTTATACCTCCCTACCTTGGCCACTGTCATGGGACCCAGTGCAGAGAAATCTGTCTCAGGAGGAATTGGCATGGGTAAGCACTATGACTCACCTACAGCTTCCTGAAAGCACAGAATTTTCAACCCCACTGAAACCATTCAACATTTGTAAGAAATGGCAGCAACTAAACTATGTGTTTCCATACACTTCCATCTCTGTGTCCCAGCGTAGTTCTGAGCTGTATTACTCAGACTGCTCACCAAAATGCAGTATCACATGCAGTTTAATAGTGTGATGCAATAGCATTATCATTAGCAATACAAATTTAAAGCAGACTGCTAAGAAAACAGTCTTTATAAGTAAGAGCCACCAGATTTTAGGGTAATCTCCCACGGAAGGAATAGAAACTGTCACATAACATGAAATTAGATTCTCCTATAGATCGAAATCCTCTATTGGGTGAACTTGGAAATGGTTGTACCTTTTGCTTCCTGAATTTTGTGAACTTTGAGAAAACTTGATTCTGGCTGAGTGCTCCCCATTTGATGAGCTCTGTGGCATGGAGATCTAGTAGTCATTTCTCATCAGTCAATTTTGGGTCATTTATACATGTGCACACACTCATGTGCAGTCTCTATGATATTGAAGACAGGCAGTGAAATCTAACAGAACAGAAATTAAACCTCATATTCTAATGTTGGTTCTTACATGCTTGGGCTACAAATGAAACAGAAAGCAGTTTGCTAATGTCTGCACAGGGAAACCAACTTCCTTACTGCCTTTTTGTTTCCTGTCTACAGGCACCAGAATGTTCCCTCCCTCAAATGGCCTGACACTGTCCTGCTGGTTTCTGGTTAGCAAGTTTGGTTTGGTGCAAAACAGTCACCCACTCCGTTTCCTCACGGTTGTGAGGCACATGTCGAGAACAGAGCAAGAATTTGTTTGCTTTTCAGTATGCTTCTTCCCGCAGGACCGTTCTTTGGCCATTTCCACAGAAGAAGTGGAATTCCAGCCACTCGGTAAAGCTTTTCTCAGTCACACCGCAGTGCTGTGTCCTCTGATTATCTGGATTTTTTCATTAACAAGTTTCCTCTTCTTATAAATACCCAGCACATTAATGAGACAATGCTGTAGGCACTGAGAATTATTAAATGTGACCTCCAACATAGGATAAAACTTACAGAAATTTTAAGGAGAAGTTTTGAATGTCAGTTACATGGTTGTGTGCAGTTGTGGGGACTGGACTTGAACCAGCTGGTTCCTGCCTGTTCTGTGTGGCATTAGGCAGGGTTGGAGAGTAGGAATGAGGAGTTCGAGAGTGATCTGTCTTCCTAATCAGCTTATTTCCTCTCCTCACTTTTAGAATATTTTCTACCATGCCAGCCTATTAATCTTTTTTCCTTCTTGATGTTTATCCCTTTTTCCTTATTGAGTACAGTAGGTACTTCAAATGTGAATGTGATTGAACATTGCAGAGGAGGTTACGAAAGGAGTGGGAATAGTAGCTGGGATTTTTCATGCACAGCTGACATTGTGTTAGTGCTCTGACTCCCTTAGATGACATTAAAAAATCCCATCTTGCCTCTTTTAATAAAAAATACAAATTAGTGTACAGAGTTTTATCATCTCATGAATTCGCTAGGATATTTTTTCTGTGTGAGCTAACTCAGTGAATACCCTGAGGGATTCTCCTCATAGAATGTGCTGGCTTTGTCCTAGTTCAGTCTAGTTTTGCATCGCTGAGGCAGCTAGCAGGTGTTACTTGGGAGCATGGCACGCTGTACAGCAGAGGGATCTTGAGAGCTGTGCAAGTCTTAGGTCCTGATCATAGACCTTCAGGGAATGTTTTAAACACAATGAACAGAATAGCACCAAATCACTCGATACCCACAGAGAGTCATGTTCTTTGTTTCACATTTGATAGTTGTGTTCCAGAGGCAGGGGAAGGTGAGGGAGACTTTCTGTTGACTTCCCCCTGTTTTTGCTGTTACAGATATCATGGAGCCTGAGGGAGAGGTCCTAAACCCCTCCCAATTTCCAGGGCAGGTCCAGTTTGGCTGTGGCAGCCTGCTGGTCACAGGCCAGTGGCTACATCTCGCAGTGACTGTTGCTAAGGAAGCAAAGAAGAACTGCATTGTGTCAGCTTATATAAATGGTCAAACGCTTGGCTCTGCAAAGGTAAAGGCTCACTGCATAGATTTGTCATAGTCTGACATTTGCCTTCCATTGCTTTTCATTTTCATCTCCCCATGCACATACCATGACTTCTCAATATTTACCTGAGAGACTCAAAGCATGGTGGTTTGCATATACAACATGTGCCACTGCGCTGTGAGTGAGTGGAGTCAGAAACCCATACAATCTAGGATGTCTTTGTGCTGCTTTTCAGAAGTATGTTATCAGCTTATACTGCTGCTTTGAACCAGTTCCTCCCTCCCACCTCAGCATGCAGATAAACAGAGTGATTTTGAGTGGTGGCACTCGTGTAAGAGTTGTAGTTACCTGATTTGCAGGTAGCTTAGAGTTATGCTGATGAAATACAGTTTTACACTTCGACTGAATTCTTCTTAGATGACTAGTGATTTTAAGGATCTCTCAGTTTACACCCAAGATTTTCAGAACTTCTCAGCTATAAAAAGTGCATCGTATTAAGGTGTTCTTGAGAATCCTAAACCAAAGGTGCTTTGGATTTAGGCTAAAACCTGCAAAGGTGGTGAATTATGTAAGGAGCCTCTGTTTTTGAAGAAAGGCTTGGAACAGCGGAAAAGTCACAGAGAAATAAGGTTCTGTGACTGGCTAGCTCTTTGAAAGAATCCCAAGATGGATGGAATTTCCTCAGGTGTCTTAGACAGACTTGTTTTAAGCTGTCGTCTTCCTGTTATATCCATTGAACAATCACCTGATGAGTAAGTGGCCTTTTTCCCACTGGCACTCTAAGCATTCGGAAACAGATAGGTGTTCCTCCGAGTTAGTCATTCAGTGTATGAGATAGCTCTTGAATTAAAATAATACTTCTTTTTTGAGTGAATAGAAATGAAAGAAATGTTTCAGTTAGGACAAATTTGTAAATTTCAAGGATACCAACTTATAAGTTCATTGCAGATGTTGGTGTAGCTATTATTTTCCCTAATGTGTCATTTCTAGTGATCTTGTTGCATAGGAGTCACTTCTCTGATGGTTAATTTCTCAGATTGCATGAGATATCACGAGAAGGCAATCCAAATGCACCTAAAGTGTTCATACTTTACAGGATAAATGAGAAGAATCCCTGGTTTATATTGTCATTATCATCATACTCCTGGTTTTCAAGCTAATCTCAAAGTATTTCTGAGATTTCATTTTTGGATTTTGAATGCTCCAGCCTGGCAATGCTGAAAACGCAGCCTATTTCTATTGCAGCTCTGATTGGTGTGGTGGTTTTTTGGTTTTGTTTTTGAATAGAAACCTTTTATTAGCTGAAACTTGTAACCGTGGTCTCTTACCTCTTATTCTCATATTTCAAATCAATCTCAACACATGCAAAGCTCATTTGTGTGTTTTATACTTCTCTTGTAAAAGCGACCTGTTTAATTCCAAATATTCTCTTTCCCATACTTGAGAAAAATGATCTGTCTTCTAAATGCCTTTTGGGACCTATATCCATTTGAAGAATGAAAATTTAATTTAATTTGCCTTGCTTCAAATGAGACTGAAAGTCATCAATAAAACTAGGCCTAAGCATTGCAATTGATTAAAGAATTCAAAGCAAATGTGTTTAACATGCAGTGAAACAGCTCGTAATAAATAAAACAAGTCTTTAGTAAATAAAAGATGGTCCCAGTGCTGGGGTCTATGACATGATGCAAGCCTTCATCTTGATATGTACAGTGAAGAACAGATAGTGTAAGATATTAGAATGGCACTAAAATTGTTAACAATACCAAAAGCTATTTTTGGGTGGTGGAGCTGTGGAAGGATAGTGTGGGTGGGTCACTGTTGCATCATACCTAGTATTTGTTCACTCAAGTATCAAGTCCTACCTCCTAATATTGACCAGCCCTGCCTTCTACATTTCAGTAGTCAGAGATCAGTAAATACTAGGAGTCTTATCCTAACAGCAAATTGTTAAAGGCAGGGCAAAGGCTAGAAGTACAATACAGTTTCTCTCTACCAAAAAAAAATCCAACTACTTGCTACTGGAGCTGTCCACATTTAAATAAAATAATAGACTCAATTTAGGAGGTTTAATCCTTATTTTGGTACCAGAAATAAATGGTCCAATTTACTAAACAATAGCTTTCACTGAAGCTGATTGATGCACTTGGACACTTCACGCTCAAAAAAAAATTTATCCTCTGGGTGCCTAGTACAAGGTGCAATCTGTAACTTGGCTTACTGTGTTGAAAGTCACCGTCTGATCTATGCAGTTTAGAAAAGGAAAAATAAGTCTGGTGTCAAGACAGGGTTTTCTTTGCCAACAGCTGAAATGATTTTGACTGTGATTTTTGAAGCAAAAGTAGACTTGAACTTTCCAGAATGCTTATGTTTGTGATACTTCTGAAAGTCCGATCTCTAAACAGTAGCTGATAGTTATATTGCACAGCTGATTGAGACTTTGTTGAGGAAGCAGGCAGGAGGCAGTACCTTCCAGGGACAAGACCTTAAGGCACCCCGAGTGTGTTGGGTCTTCTCAGTGAATTCTTCCTCTGTTGCAGATGCAGTATCTCCAGTTCTTACCAGGTAGCTGTATATCCATGGAACCCTCTTCCTTTATAGATGTTTATGGGTACATAGCTACTCCTCGAATTTGGAAACAGAAGTCCTCCTTGACCTGGCGTCTTGGCCCCACCTACTTGTTTGAAGAAGCTATCTCTATGGAAACCATAGACATGATTAATAAGCTTGGCCCACGGTATTGTAGCAATTTCCAAGCAGTACAGCTTCAAGGTTTGTGATAATTCTTATATCCACCACTATTTTTTTGTCAGGGTAATGCTCTTTTTGTTCTTATGTGCTGCTATTAGTACTCCAACTGTACCTAGAGCTCTCTTTAAAAGCCTGGAACTCTGTGTTACTGAGTGTTGTACAGGATTGTGTTAAGATACTGTGAGGATCTTGCAACATACAGTAAATTGGGCAGAAAAAGAAGGGCAAGTATCAAGCAGTAGAGAGAGCTGGAGAGTAAAGAGGGATAACGTGTCCTTGAGGAGATATAAGATTGCGGTTTCTGTTGGATAAGCATTAAAGCAGCAGCTTTAACAGAAACATTCTGCATTTATGGTTCTACAGAAAAAACATGGCAGAAAAAGATCATCATCTTTAATTGCAAATACTTGCGGAGTAGGACAGAGCACAGGGGAGAGACGAGTAGGGAAATAAGTTACATTCTATTTAATGAAGAGGCTTTTTAACTAAAGTATACTGTTAGCTTCAATTATTAAGCAGGCAGACAAAACATTTCAGTTATTGATCACTGTTTGTTCAACAAGTAGAGCATTCACCTCTGTACTAGATCTTGGGATGAAATGGGGTGCCTGTCTCCCATTTGAAAAGAGCAGATTAATCTCACGTGGTGATGCTCTAACCTAAAATAAAGTGGAAAGACTGGCTGAAAATACTCCTTCAGAATGCTGTCTATCTAGGCAAAAGAAATCTCCAAGTGAAGCATGGGAAGGGGTTGTTGAAAGAGAAATATCAAATACAGCCCTAAAGTAAAGGTATTACCAATACAAGAAGCAGGATTTGATTTTTGAAGTGTTGAGTCTTTATGAAGTCTGGGTGCTTGCTCTCTGCACACTGATCTTCCCAGCTGAACTTCAATACTAACCATGGATTGCGGCCAACTGACTCCAGTGATGCCTTAATGCAGGGAAATCACAAGGCACTATACAAGATGTGATCTCATGATTGTGAAACGATCTCTCTCTCTTCTAACCTCCCTGCCTCTTTTTTCCTTATTTATTTTTTTGGGGGGTCAGGGGAGGGAAAGGACCAGGGTGGTACCTTACATCTCAGTATTCCATCAAAATATCCAAATAAACTCTTCTAATGGAAATATTAACTGAAAAAGCATTTCATCATAAACCCCCCAAATATTATGGTTTATTCCTTAAAATGGATTTATGACCTTGTTGTGAACAGCAGTTTGAATGGTTTCAGCAGTGTTGTGTCCCATCTCACCAGTATCTTATTGCTTCTCACTAATCATCAGCAGGTGTGCAGAGGCTTAGCCATAAGTTTGTGTCCTACTGGAAAGGAAATAGGTGATACAGTCTTGGGGCATTTACTTCTAGTTAATCTTCATGCGGAATACATGCTAATTCTTTTCACCTGTAAGGGCTGTGTCACCAGCATAAGTAAACAGCTTCACAAATCAACTGTTTTCCCAGTCTATAAAATTGTCAAAAATACAATTTTATTTTTTTTAAAAAGAAAGGTACACATAGTTTTTCCAAGTGCAAGCAGGAATAGAAAATTCTTCAAAGGAAAGCATGTGAGAATTTCTTACCATCATTAAACTACTGAATCTGGTACTTTTTAGAAGCTTGCCATATGTTGTGAGTTGGCAGCTCTGGACTTTTGCCTCTGTCCTTTTTCTTCCACATGAATCCTTGCTCCCAACACCCCTGGAAAAGTCCCAGTAACATAGAAGGCCTCTGAAATGTTTTCTCTGCCCAGAAAGTTTGTTTATATTTTCTGGACAGAGAAAGTTTTATTTTGGACTTCTCTGAGCTTCATGAGATACTGGGAGAGGATGTAGGTTCTACACAAAGCAGTAACCAGAGGAGACAAGCCAAGTGCATCTCCTGTTCGTGCTTGCTCTGACAAGCTGCTATAGATTGTGTTACAAAGGATGAGGGCTTTTTTCTGATTATAGTTAAGTCAAAATCAAATTCCTATCTAAACTTTGGTTTCCTCCAGTTGTTTTTTATCTGCCTCTCTCCTGTCTCACATGTTGAGCATGCGAAGTTCCTTAAGAGGTTTATAGTGTCTCTTGTTTTAGGTGAGGACAAGTACAGTGATCATAATCCTGCACCTCTGGTGGCAGAAGAGAAGATTTCTTTTGGAATCAATGCCATGTGCTCATCTCTCACTACGGTCCAAGACATAAAGAGCTCCTACAATGAGGTGGATGGCCGGCTAATTGCCAAAGAGGTCACAAATTTCCTTCATTTGTCTTAAACAGGTTTTCTGTTATTTATGAATGTTTTCCTAAAGCAAAGTTTGTGACTTTATCTTAGTTATGTACTTTCAGTGACTTCTTTTCCAGCTTCTCTTCCCATTATTCAACTCCATTCTACTCCTGGTTTTGTTTTCATTTGTGGAGAGGAATAGATTGGACAGTGTGAACACAATGTTAAAAGCCTTTCCTGAAACAGCAACAGAAGCCATAAATTTCAGGTCTAATGATTATCTGTTTCAGCCTGTGATTTCTGAATGCCTTCACAGTGACCTTTCACATACTATTCTAGACTTCCTGCCAATGCCAGGCCTACTGACACGACAAAATAATGGTGTTGTGGGATATTTTAGGTGGGTGAATGTTTGTCCTAACAGTCAACTTTGAAGGAAAAAAAAATATTTGGTTCTTATAGTCTAAAAGTAATAAAATAACCTAAAGACCACTTGTTAATTTTTGTCTCCCCAATACTGCCATGTTTTTTCTGAGGATGTCTCTTTTATCTGTTTTAGATTGGGGTTAACTCTCGGGACAGTTCAACTCCGATATTCCTAGCTAAGAATATTGCTGGACACCTTTCAGGTTCCTTGCGAACTGTTGGGTCAGTTGCTGTGGGCCAATATGGTAAATGCACTATGACTTCATGTTTCATATTTTTTAAGTATTGGGCCTTTCTCTGTCCAATAACAGATTTGATTCATGTAACTTCCTGGTAGAGTAATGCTGCAATTTTCTAGGAGTAAGAGTGTTCCAGTCCTCTCCAGCAGCTACTAGCCTGAACTTCATTGGAGGCCCCGCCATTCTCCTGGGTCTCATTGCTATGGCTCGTGATGACCACACCATGTATGCAGCTGTCAAAGTCCTGACCTCCATCCTGAACAGTAGCCCAATGAGTGAAAAATTGATGAGGCACATGCATGGATACCAGGTAGATACTCTTTTGTTCATTCCTTCTGGTTATAGTCTTTCCCATGGAGAAAAAAAAAACCTATCCCAAAACCTATCAAAGTCAATGAACCAAGCACACCCTGGCTCTTAGCACTTTCTGCCCTTCTACTCTGCTCTGGTGACACCCCACCTGGAGTCCTGCATCCAGCTCTGGACCCCTCAGCACAGGAAAGACATGGATCTGTTGGAGCGGGTCGAGAGGAGGGTCACAAAAATGATCAGAGGGATGGAACACCTCTCCTATGAGGAAAGGCTGAGAGAGTTGTCTTTGTTCAGCCTGGAGAAGAGAAAGCTGCGGGGAGACCTTGTTGCTGCCTTCCAGTAATTAAAGGGAGCTTGTAAGAAAGATGGGGACAAATTTTTTGTCAGGGCCTGTTGCAATAGGACAAGGGGTAATGGTTTTAAACTGAAAGATGTTAGATTTAGACTGGATATACGGAAGAAATTTTTTACAAAAAGGGTGGTGAAACACTGGCACAGGTTGCCCAGAGAGGTGGTACATGCCCGTCCCTGGAAACATTCAAGGTCAGGTTGGACAGGGCTCTGAGCAACCTGGTCTAGTTGAAGATGTCCCTGCTCACTGCAGGAGGGTTGGGCTAGCTGATCTTTAAAGGTCCTTTTGAATCCAAATTATTCTATGATTCTATGGTTGGAACTTTGTAAGTTATGAGATCTTTGAGAGGGAGATATAGGATAGTACTTTAAATCCTGTGCTTACAATCTCTGGGAACCTCTATAACAGTATTTCTACTGATGGGAAGGTGAGGACAGATGCCTCTTGGTCAGATGTGATCTAATAAACTAAATAGCCAGTGCAGCAGATTTGTGAGTGACCCACACTTCACCTTTTACCACCACACTTGATCCCTCCAACAAGAGACCACTTCTCAGGCAGGTCCACTTCCTCTCCTTGGCTCATCCAGCATAAGATTCCTCTTTACAGACTGCCCAGTGTAGGGCTGACAATGAATTCCTGTGACTCAGTCTTTACTGTGTATTCAGAATTGTGCTGATATAAACAGGTGCTGTCTGGATTTCATTGATTAGGTCTGCCCTAAATTCATCTTTCAAACCTAAAACCTGTGCAGACTGAAGAGTTTCGTTTTATTTAAGAACTATATATGTAGTATTGGAAGTGTTAAGGCTCCAGTGTGAATTTTCAGTTCAGTATCAATTATTTTATGCTACGTAGGCTAAGCAGAGTCTTATGGAACAGAGAAGACTCTTTAACAGACGTGGTTCCACACAAGACTGTTAACATTAGGGCTTCATGAATGATTTATTACAACTTTCCATTTTCCCATTTTGTGAATTGTTCATAAATCGATTCTGATTCATATGAATATATTTATCATACTTAGATATTGTTTGCCCAGTCCTTTCTTGTCGGTGAATGTTGGTCTTTAGATTGTGTATGAACTGTTCCTTTTGACTCTGTGCTAAATAGTGTTCTCTCCACGTGACTGATCATCATGTTTCAATGGAGTGATTTTGCTCTTTGGATGTCTGAACCTTTGGTTTTTTTAAACAGCCAACTAATAAAAATATGTCTTGATATGTATTTTCAAATGCATGTCTATTCCTCCCAACCTAATCAAACTGTACTGGCTTTATGAACATTTTTCTCACTGTATCAGGAATTCATTGAACAATCAAAGACAGACTCTGTCAAGAAACTGGCAATCTTTCACACCAATATCTTTCATTTGAAGAGGTCAACATTAATATTTCTTTTAAACTACCACCATTTGCAAGCAACTAAGAATACCTCCATGAAGAGTAGTATAGAAAACCTACTGTGGTTATTTACAATTATATTTGTATTCTGCTTTTTGTAAATTCCATTCAGCATTGTATGATGCATATTTTGCTCCTGTCCAATGCCACAAAGTTGTCAAACTCCTTCAAAAACTTACTGTTTCACTTAGTGTGAAGAATTTTATGCCTGGACTGAACTCTTCACTTTCTTCATGATGCTTATGTAAGATGCATGCATGCATAATTACTACAACCAAGTAAACTGTGAATTTGTCTAAAAAATTGTGTTATATGTTAGTTTATAAATACACATTTATACTCGGCAGATGCTTATTGAGGCTTTTTTTCAGTTGCTGACCTATCTATTGAAGAGGAAGACACATCTATTAAACAACAGGATCCTACAGTTAGTGTTCTCCCTAGTGGGCACAGCTGAGCTTGGCTTTGAGTCTTCAGTCATCAAGAATTATAGTGCATTCCAGTATGTTCTCTGCAACTTTGAGGTAAAACTGTTGATGTTACTTTGTGTGTTTGGCTGTATTAAAGGTGGCTTTATAGTATGAAGTTTGGTGTGTCCATAGCACCTCCTGGATCCAGTATTTGGATGGGGTGGTGAGTGGTAATTTTCCACACTGTGGCTCACCTGGGGAGGTGGTAGCTCCTGGAATGGCTGGTCCTCTGTCCCCATGGCTCCCCACTGTGCCCCGCTGCAGTTTCTGGAGTGTTCTGGCAGACCCTGAGGGCCTGCTCCTCAGGGCTACCTCAGGAGCAGCAGCTCCTTGCACTGGCAGAGTTTTCCCAGTGCCTGCGGTTTGCCATTGCAGAAACAGCTGAGAGTTTATGATGTTATCCTCCCTGAACTACTTTGTTTCTCCGCCACAGGTTACTGTCCTCTCAGCTCAGCAGAGCAGTAAAACCTCTGCTTTCCTTTGTCTTTCAGCTTTGGATGAAAGCACCAGAAAATCTTGACCTTGCTCTTTTTTCACATCTTCTGGAGATCTTGCAGTCCTCCAGGTACACAAGCTAGTGTTTGAATCGGAAATGTGGGACAAACTCATCTGTAACCTAAAGCTGGAACTGTGAGGTGGATATGCAGGGTCCAATCCTCATTTGAATCAGTGGACTCTGGTAGTGAATCATTTCTGTATTGCTCTTTCAAGGCTGGATTTAGTGGTTTGATCAACCACTGAGATGGCTTTGGGGCCACACTGGGAAAAGCTATACATGGTGACCTAGTTCACATGGAACTACTGCTGTACAATCAAAGTTAAAATATCTGCTGAGGAGGGGCAATCTGAAAGTTTGAACTGAGTATGAAATAATAAAACAAATTAGAAGTGAAGTTGTGTTTAAAACCGAAACACAACCCAGGAAGACTTTTTTATAACAGTATACTTTCCTAATCAGCTGTACTAGAGTTAAATGTATCTGAAGAGACACAGCATGGCAGAGGGGCTGAGTAGAGCAGCGTGCTAGAATCCTTCTTTTTGGTACCAGAAAGCTCTGTGCAGAGTAGTCTGGTGTCCCTTGCTGAGTTTTACAAGAATAGCATGTGTTACCACCAACTCACTGCTTGAAAATTCAATAATGTTGTTTTCTTTGAACTCTTTAAAAAGCAGCAGTTTCCATGGGAGAGGGCAGATGTGGAGGGTAGAGAACACACAAAGTCTTCAGATCTCCATTGCTGACACATATTCAATTTGTCTGACAATGTTTGAAATGTTGCCAAGGCAACATTAGAAGTCAAAGGTGCAAAGCATCAGTGCAACCTGAGAATCCTTTTAGCTGAAACCCAGCAAATTTGGTTCATTCCAGTAAAAGCTTTTAATAGTTCTTGTGCTTTTTTACAGAGATGGATGTCAGAACGCTGCAGTTGCCTATCAGGTGCAAATGGTGCCCAAGCTCATTTTCCTCTTCAATGATCCTGAAATAAGTAACTCCAGAATCACTGTGGCCTGCTCTATTCTCTCCCATCTGTTGCAAGGATACTTTAACACAAGGGATGTTCTTAGGTAACCTTCAAGTCTACACCTTTTTCTCAGTTTGCAGATGAGCTATGCTCCTGCCAGTTTTGGAGACAGCTCTGTAATAGAACTCCTTCACCTCATCTTTGTTAGGAACCCCCATATCTTTGACAACTGCAGAAATCCCCACTGGTGAAAAACTCTTTCACGCCGTCAAAACCGAGTTCTGTCCAATCTTTTATGTGTGTGATGATGGGTTGGGTGATGACTCTTACAATGATGGCACAAACAGTTCTGCTGGTATGACTGGGACTACTCAAAGTCCATAATATCTAAATAAAGTCTAAGTAATATTTGGTTTCATTAAAACCTTCCTCTAAAATATTGCAATCACTGTAGTATAGCAACTTGGCCCCAGTCAACTATATACCTAATCCTGTTGGTTGGTTTATATCCCAATTTTTGTTCTTGAGTTTCAATCAGCTAATATATATTAGTAAGGATTTCATCAAGCAAATAATTTAAATCCTTGTTTGCTTTCCAGCTTTGCCAGCTGTTTTGTGAAATTACCTTTATGTATGTTCCTACCATGGGCTCGTATGAGTTAGCCTATTCTTTTTTTGTACAGGTGTAAGTGGATTTAGTGTATCCAGTTTGCCATGTGGTAAGGAATGAGAATGAGCACTTTTCTTAAAATATCATGATTTGTTATCCATGGTAATTTGATTCATTGTCAGGCCCATGAGTGCTGAGTGAGTGGATACAGTTCCTATCCTTCCAGCTCCAGGAGAGAGACTATAGCAGGATCTCAGCAGCACTGACAAGATGCTGGAGTTTCTGCTGGTCCCAGACTTTTGACATATCTAATGGAAATTTCTGCATAGACCATTCCTGAAGAACAAGTGTTGTTCTGTCGCTTAAGAAATGCCCTTCTTGTGGGCAGGAGAAGGTTAGGCACTTTCCCTAAGGGTGTATGTCACATTAATCTATCTCTCCTTAGAACCAGGTAGTGTGTTAAAGCAAACTACAGGTGAAAAGAGATTGTCAGTCTTCCTCCTTGAGTACCTGCTGAGGTTTCTCTGGTCTCCTCTAGGTGCTTGGAAACCAAGTGGTGATATGTGATATCTGAGTGGCACAGGCAGTTCAGAATCTTTTGTATGAACAGAGTACTTAACTCAGTATTGCATTCCTCATGGTGAAAGACCTTTAAAATCAAGAGATAAAGAGATGATTTTTTTCCACAGTAGAACAGATACTACTTGGATTTGTAGATGGATGTCCTTTTTATTTTCTTCCTAGTGTATGAACTTTTGCATTCCTATTTCAACCCTATTTCTGCAGTGACTAGAATTTCCAGTGTTTGTCATTAAGAGTCATCATTAATGAGTATTGAGATTTGCATGTAAACTCAAAGTAATTAAATTAATTTCTGTCTTTCTGCTGACCAAAACTGCTTCCCTCTTTCTCTGCAAGGATTGGATTGTTCCTTGTTTACACTCTGAAACCTTCTTCTGTGGATGAAAATCAGATTTGCCTGGACAGTGTGTCTGAGATGCCCACTGAAGGTGAGGAGCTACTTTTGGTGTATGTGTTCTGATAGACAGCTGAAATACTTCCCTTGTTCCCCAGGACATGATGAACCCCAAATGCATAGTGTTTCTGTCTCGAGTAGCAGGAAGAGACACAATTCAAATGACTTGATGTGGAAAGGGACAGGCTGCACTGAGGTGATGTGAAATCGTGGGGAAAACTTCTATTGCTACAAAGGCCTGGTGCAAAGAATAGTGAAGTGACAGTGACTGAGTACTTATCCAGGAAGGCATAACCTGCCACAAGATCTTCCTTCTGCTAAGGGAGTTCCCCTTTTGTTCTCTCGCTGCTAATAAGGCAGCAATACTTTGGCTGCATTGTCAAGAGCCTACACAATGTTGAATTTCACAGATATACACAGAGATGAAGGCTGTTAAATTGAAAAAGCAGCAAAACTAACGTACTGGGCTGTTACAAGGAATAGATTTCACTTGGCATCCTGGATGTTCTGTGAACACTTTTCTACACTTACAGATACAGCAAATAATAATGTGGAGCTCTGCACCTTTTAAAGTATCTGTGCATTTATGTCAACTTTGTGTGTGTGAAATTCCAGTCAGCTGGCTCTTTCATTATGATCTTTCAGTTGAGACTGTTGGTTATTGCACCTCTAAACAATATATTATATTAAGGAGACACTGATAACTGTATTTATATATATAGGCATCACAGCTAGGTAATAAGAGTCAGATATTGCCTGTTTACATTTCCCGACGTAGTTAATCTCAGGTTATTTTTCAATATGTACTCTGGAAGAGTTATAAGAAACTTTAAAGAGAGGACTTTGATAACATAAGCCCTGGTCATTTCTGATGTTAGCAGGAATTCTTATGTCTAAAATTTGATGTCTGCATCTTTTTAGTCTACAAAAGACTAATATAAGTATTTCCACTGGGCTAATCTGGTGCAAACAAGGTTATTCATCAGTGGAACATGTGTTTTGTCTCTTCATTACTCTTTATTACTTTCTGATATTTGTAGCCTTAAGCCAAACATCTGGAAAGACAATCTGGCTTCGAAACAAGTTACTGAAGATGCTGTTAGATGTAATGCATTCAGACAAACTTCATCTGTCCTCTGAGTAAGTAGAAACAATTTAGGAAGATGTGGGTAGGTGTCTCTGTCTTCTAGATTTCTTCTTTGCTAGTGCTTGACCAGAACTAAACACACTGGTAGTATCTGAGTCTTAATCAAATAGTAAGAGCGAGCAGACTGGATTCAGACTTACTTTTTGTCAGTGATTTATCTGGCATTTACACAGATATGTGATCAGATCACAAATCTGATCTCCATTTTGAAAAAAGTTTAATGTTTTCAGAAAATATGTCAAAGGAGGAGCTCGGATATTGCTGTTTCCTTTGCTTTGCAAGGGTTGAAGAAATCCTAGCTGTCTTTGAAAATCAATTCACTCTAATGTGGGATTACTTGCACCCCTCTGTCATAACCATCAACATGCAGTTACTATAGTTCTGCCTCGTATAACACAAAGGCAGAGTTCATTGTGCTGGGTGCTGTAACTGTTCATTTTCTTTAGTTAACATATCTTGCACTTGAAAATTCAAACTGGAATTTTGAATTTCATAGGCTGAAAGATCTAGTCTGTGATGTAGTTTACCTCAGTTATTGATACACACTCCTAGAAGGAGCTTCATGTTAATGAGTTTTAATGTCTGACAGTAATATAAGGTTGGATTTAGTGGGAATTAAGTGGCTTGAACAGCGTGGACACCTCTGTTGTTAAATCTTTGTAATTCTGTGTTGTGGTATGCTTTTAATCTGATTTTTTCTGGAGAAACTTGAGCTTGTAAATCACTTAGAGGTAATTTTCAGTAAGATCTCTTTTCTGTCTTCCACCATGTCTCCTTTCATGTGTTTTCGTTTTCCTGTATGTCCTAGGGAACAAGAAGAGACATTTTTGGCTCTGGGGCCAGACTGGTTTCTGCTGTTCACACAGAGCTACCTGCACTCTAGTACGGTTGTGCTAGGAATCAAGCTACTTCTGTGCTTCCTCCACAATCGTTTGCTGCTGAACAAATTCAAGGATGGGATAGTGGCTGGGCGCTGGCTGGAAAACAGCTCTGCGGGTTTTAGTATTCTAATGGGTATGTGTTGGTTTAATGTTCCCAAAACAATCCTTTGATCCAGCCCAGTGATAGGAGATCACTGAAGCAGGTGATCGAAGAATTCCCACTGATCTCAGTAGAGGAACAATTGGTAAATTTTTCCATGCTGAAGAGTGGAAAGCATTGCTTCTCCCTTGCATGATATTGGCATTTCTGATCAGCAGTTGCAGGGAGATGGGCCTTTTTGTCTTGCATAAAATCAGGCTAATTGATAAACCTGTGAGGTGTTCAGATGTCATCTTGTGCCCTGAAACCTTCTGTTTCTTTAAGAAATGTTCAGCTTACTTTTTGATAACTAGATTTGTGGTTTTGAGAAAGGGGAGAGAAAGGTAGAAGAAGAATTCGGGGAGAATCTCCTGTAACAAAAATGATAGTGGGAAAAATTATCTATTAGTCTGACGAAATTTTTTAAACTGTTGATATTGCATCCTAGAGGAGTACTGAGCGGTCTGAGACACAGACAAATGAGGATAAAGTTGGGTCAGTAATCCTTCCTCTAATATGACATTCATTTTTAGACACCTCCTCAGAATATTTTCCTTTTCTTTTCCTTTGAAGATAATTTAAAAACTCATCCTCCAGTGCCTGACAATGGATCCTTCTTGATTTTTGGGTTTTCTGTGTTGCAAAGATGTCTGACTGATCATGTCCACATCCCTGAGATCTACTTGCTCGTAGCAGGGCTCTTTCTGGCAACTCCGCAGTCTGAACCACCTGAAGCAGCCAAGGTATGAAAAAAATAGTGGACAAGCATGATGCTGCTATTGTTTACTGCTTTGGAATTTTGTGGCCTTTTCTGTGAGAGGATTCTCAGGCAAGTTAACCCTATTTGTTTTCTGCGATAGTTAAAATTAGTCATTCATACTTTAAAAATGAAGTTAACTTTGATTTAGGAAAATTTGGGTTTGGAACAAACTTGTTCATACAGGTGTTAAAAGCTGTTTAACTACTATAATTTAGAAGGTAATTAAGATTAGCTTCCCTGTCTGTTCTTACATTGTCAAGACTCATTAAAATCTCAGAATTAGTGGATTTGGGTACTTTCCCCCAGCGTCCTGAGAAGCCATAAGGCATTTTCACCCCAGGAGTACCAAAGACATATTTCAGAAAAGGACAACCCATTAGTGCTATCCTGGGGAAACATCCTTAATAGGAGAAGGAGGAGCTGCTGGAGGTGAAGGTGTTTTGGATTTTTGTGATCTAGAGAGAGCAGGTGTTGTTATTCATGTATCATATATAATTCCCATCTCTTCTTGAAATATCTCTCCTCCTGTTGTAGAAAGATCTTGAGTCTATGTTGCAGTGGATCTTGCAGCACCACATTACGGAGAATGTCCTCAAAATCGGGTTGTGTGCAGAGGCAGCTGCTTTACTGCTGGAAATGGTTAGAGTCACTGTGGACAAGGTAAGTGTTTTGTTGCAAGGACAGTGCAATATGAATGGCAGAATAAGCTCTGAGATTGTTAGATGTCAGTAGCTGTCTTTACCTGTAACCCCTAGCCTTCCTCTGCCCTCACAGGGCAATATTGAGCATAATACTGAGCAGGCACTTCAAAGCATCAGCACAGCTATTGGCCTGGCTATATTACGTAGAAGATGATGTGATGGGCTTGTGTCTAAGAACTTCTGAATACAGAGATGGATCTTACCCATACCATTACTCGTTTTGTTCATTCTTGATGATGAAGATTATCACCTTTCTGATTGGGTGTACCTTCAGTCTACAAGTTGGGAGTTGGCTGCTTGTGCCTTGTCTGACTTCTCAATGGCCACGTGATGTTTGCTTAGTTGCGTAAGAATACCGAGAGAGGAGCAAAGATGAGCTTGTATGAGTGAGAGGAATGCTGCTTTGACTAGATGCACATTTGTCTGTGTTCAGCCTATTGCAGATACAGAAGACTCCTGGGAGATTGCCTATCCAGGGAATGTTCTCCAGTTTCTGTGCTTGATCTATCACAGTTATACCCAGGACCCCATATGGCACTGTCCTGACTTTTTGAAAACTTTGGCTATGGTTGCTTTCCATTCTGGACCACCCAAGGTATGTGCATCTGCGCCCTTCAGATCTGAGATGGGTTGCTAGCAGGAAAAAACGATTTAAAGGTTATGAGTTAAAATGCATTGCTGTCTGCTTCCACAGGGAGGGTCTGAAGGCTTTTTGACTCCCGATGGTCCAGCTATTGCTGAAGGGAAAGGCTATGCTGATCCCTCCTCCCTCCCGCTTGTACCACACCCTGCCAAGAAACAAGTGTGGGATTTTGTGCGAGTCCTCCTGATGGACAGTCTTCTCAGCATCCCAGCAAACAAACAATGGCATCCGCTTGAGCTGCTTCTTGAGGTCTCTCGTAATTATCAGGTTTTGCTGCTCTGCCTTGCACTGGGGGTGGATGGGCAGGAGATACCCTGCTAGTGGCCCAGTGAAAAAGGTGCTAACAGTGATGAAGAGGTGTATTCAGTCAGCATTTTCAACAGTCTAGGATAAGGCTGGGATCGCAACTCTTAGAGAGCATGCACAAGATCCTGGCAGATCTGGACAGACAACTTAGTGGAAATTAATTCCTACCTTTTCAACAAGGAAGAAGAGCCTTTTCTGCCTGCTATACATTCATATGAACTAAAAAAATGCTGCCTCTAGACAACAACAAACAACAAAGGCATTTTTCGGGCAATATTTAACATTGAAGTAAAGCGTGAAAAAAAAATCCCTTTTCTTTAGTAATATCTGTTTGTCATTAGAGCAGCCCTTGAGTTTGAGAACAGAAGATTACATATGGAGCACTCCTGTGAACTGATTTTTGAGACAATAATTTCTTTTCAGTGCTCAAATAAACCAAAAACAACTGTCTCCACTTTTAGTACAGATTAATGCAGGCTGTAGCAGCTGAGTCTGTATTATGTATTTCAACCACACAAAGTACAGGAAAGTTAAAATAGTCTGAAGAAAGGGAAATTGGAAGAGGTAAGCTTCATCTCCAAACTGTCAATGGTCCAGGTGTCCCAGATGTGAGTTCTGATGCAGATTTAGCTTAGTAATACAAATAGTAATGAACATAAGCTTGACTACAACTGTCATGAGTTAAATCATCTTGTAGAGCAGCAGTTCCCTAAAGGTTTACACAATAATATCCCAAGGCTTGGTACAGTGTAAAATAGAGGATGCTCTTCTGACGGTCTGAATCCCGAGCCTGGTAAAAGCAGCTGAAATTCTCTGATGGCAAGATCTCTTGGGAACCACCTGTGAAGCTAGGTTCTGGACCTGTGCAAAACCTTGTTTGTGTTCAGTGTGCGGAGGGAAACTGTGCTGGCTATCAGCTAGACAGTGTAGACCTATGCAAGATTTTTTGTTTCCCCAGCTAGAATATGAGGTTCCACCATCTCATCTGCTGCCCAGTAACTGTCCACACATGCACTCTTGCTGAACTCTGTATGAGAGGTGCCGTGTTGACTTTTCACAGAGAAGTACCCCAGATCTCTGCATATAACATGTTACTGTGGGTTATCTGTCACAGATAACATCTTAGTTTGCAACAACTGTTTCATATGCCCATGCCAAGGGCTAAAGTGTGCAAGTGAGGTGGAGTAGTTGTCCTGGCTCTTCTTGTGCTGCTTTTCCCCTCCTCTTCCTAACATGGTGCCTAGGTGTTTATGGCACATATTGGGCATTTTGAATTATCTCAGATAGTACGGAGTGTCTCTTGGAATATCTTCTCCATTCTTTGAGCAAAACTTTTACTGCATCTGAATCTTTGACAGGCATAATCTACCAAAGATCCAGTGAAACAAAAAGCCTTTGAATAAAGACTGAAAGTGAATTTGAGTGTGATTTCCTGACTGGTTTACTGCTGTACTAATATGTATATCGTATTATGTAGGCTTTTCCAGGGGATGCCACCAGTGAGCAGAAGAGACATTTTCAGACAAAAGTTTTGCTGTCTGCTATGGATGTCTTCCATGTTACCAGCCAAGGCGAGGGGAAAACAAAACCAAGAGGTGAGTGGTGAGAATCAGATCATTAGCTAGCTGGTATTTAGCATGTAGCTGTAACTGCTGGAAATGTTTGGACACAGTAGCTAAAAGGACAGTCCAGGTCAGCAGGCCGGACTTGCATTCACTCCTGCTATAGGCCAATTTGCATAAATTATTGTAGTTTTACCATTTTGCTAGAAAGCCTCTTCACTTTTTTCCTCTTTTGAGAACAGATTCTGAACATTAGAAAGGGAATACTTAGAAAGAAAACGAGGTTTATCCTTCAGTGATTCTGGAAACAACCCTGATAACTTAGTTATTGCTGCTCTCCTTTCTGAGCCATTAGTTGGACCAGTCCTTCATGACAGTATTTTAGTGAGATTGGTTCTGTCCTTAGGGTGGAGCTGTCATTTCCAGTCTGATGAAGGTGTTTTGCTGCTAGACCTAGAGTTTTCTTAGACATGTCCCAACTCTGAGATATTATGGCATGAGACTGTTTCTTCTCAGCTCTGGTAACCCCACAACTCACGTAATTTTTCTTTCATTTCAGCTTTTTTTCAAATAATCAACCCTCTTGTATCCTCTCCAGGGAGCAGTGATCCTTATGGCGCTTCAGAATCAACTGCACCTGTATCCATGATGAATATTGCTTATTTTGCTCAGAAGCTGGTTGAGAAGCTGAGCAGCAGAATGTTTGCTGCTGACCCCAAGCAAATCCTGATCTTCACTGCCAAACAGATTATGGGAGTGAGTCACATGAAGTTTTTTCCAACTGTTACCAGAATGTTGCAATGTGCTGTTTGACATTGAGGTTGTGATACTGCAGTTCTCAAGAAGATGGCTGTAAACCATTTGGTGATTGTGATTATACCTGTTTTCTTGCATAAGCACATAATGGCCCTAAATGACAATCAGAGCTAGATGGTGCACTGTAAAGAAGGAACAATTACCTCTTTTGTACCACTGTCTGTTGGCTATGTATATGTTGTTGAACAGAAATAAATTAATCTCCCACAGCTCTGGGGGCTTTGGCAAAAATACAGAAAAATTGAAATTGTGTCTAACAGGTAGTTCAGGGGAATTTTGCTGAAATAAGTTTGCAAGAGCTTAAATGAAGTGAGAGGAGTGGATCCTTGGGGAAAGAGCTGTTTCAGCAAGCCAAGTACTCTTCTGTTTTATGTTTTCACAGGTCTTAGAAAGCTCCGTTTCTCAAAAGGAGGTTTTCCTCAGTACACTGTACAGCTGTCTAAACAGAGCCATCCTATACTGCCTATCCAGACCACAACAATCGCTGCCTGAACAGTTTGATGTCCTGAACACTCTCAATGTCCTGCAGGAACAGTGGGACATTATTTTTGCAACTTACAACTCAAATAATAATTTTGTTGTCTGCCTAATGTACTGCCTTTGCCAGCTGAATTCGGGCAGGTACAAATGTTCATCTCAGTATAATGTTTGTTTACATCTCTGTGCTGTTATCTACGGGAGTGGGTGCAGAGACAGAGATTTCACAAAACTTAAGCAATATCCATTTTGGGGAATCATTAGAAGCTGAGATTGAGCTGGATTCAGCTAGACTAAGGACTCTGGATGCAGCATATCCATTGCACCCTACCAAGCATTTGACCCTTTGGTCTCAGTGGTCTGGGGGTTTAAAGCACCATTCTGCTTTAAAGAGGGCAAACCTTCTTCTCTGATTTGGTGTCTGTTGAAGTGGTACAGTAAAACCACTTGGGGAAAGATGGTTGTTTTCCTCATACACTTTAAAAAAAAGAAAAACACCAACAAATACTTTGATGTAATTTTTTATCATTTAATTTGGAGAAGAGGAAGATTAATGTGCTCAGTGTTCTGGAGAAAATGGATTGTCTTTCAGCAAGAAAGTGGAAGGGATTAACTGTTCTTCAATCAGCAGGCTATTTTTTCCTTGAAATACTAGTGAGTGGAAAAGTTCCTACCACCTCTCTTGCTCAGAGGCAGTATAGTATGTGTGTTTGTGGGTGTAAAAAGCAGGCAATAGTGGACAGCAATAACATAACAATTCTGTTTTTTTTCATTTTGAAAAGGGTGTTTCATTTCCGAGACACTCAGAGAAGCTTGCATGTTTGTCTAAGCAGAACCCTTAAATTTGCACATAGGTTTAATTGCTACTCTTTATTAACCAAAACATCTGTTTTGTATCCATTTTACTTATCCAGCATCTCCAGCAGCTAGCTTGCTTTGGAGTAGTAACTGCAGTTAACAAGCTTGAACTAATTTTACTGGAGTTGGCTCACAAGCCCATCATTAAAATGAGAATCTCAAAATCTTCATGAGATGTGGGCTAGAATCACTCCACAAGCATGCAGGTGGCTATTCCACAAGATATGTGCATGAGCTAATTTAGGGAGATGGTTTTTCTGATCCAGCAGCTGTTCTTGTATGTGTACTTTTAAAATATATATAAAACTGTGCATGGATCTTGTGAATCTTTCTCTTATGGTTATCATTACTTGGATCTGAGCTGCAAAGTCCTTGTCGTACTGAAGTTGGGAGTTTTACTATTGACTTGGATAGGGCTAGAACATCCATATCTACTCTGTTTGCTATTCTTACAGGTGGTGTATCAGAGGTACTCTTGCTAACGTAAGCTGGGGAGTTATTATGGAAACTCTATTGTGTGAAAAGAAGCAAATATTGGCTAGGGCTTTATTCACTATAATGATGTTTGTTATTTCAATGAAAACCTTCTGTCCTGCTTAGATGCTCTGAATTGAACCTCATTAATACAGTATCACATCAGAAATGAGCTGCTCTTCCTGAGGTCTTTTCTTGATTGTTCTTATTCCAGTCAGATAATAATTGCCAAGCCAAAACTGTTGAGATGGGGTAAGGTTTGCTTGTATCTAGCAAGAGTAGAAAAATTTTTTAAAAAATAAATTACGGAAGTATTGGTGTTATCCAAAAGCCAAACACAGCAAATCCAGGGAATCAGAATTGTGGTATTTAAAATAAAATCAGAAATAAAAATGACAGCTTTGCATACCCAGGAGATAGTAGCATGTAAACGTGATTACAGTTGAGACTAATATTATGGTGTTACAGTTTGCAGCTTTTTAATGTTGAGTGCCTTATAAACTGAATGAACAGTCATCGGTGCAAAGAACTTAGTCTGAGGAAGCAGTTCAGATGTAGGGTACGGCAAGGCAGTGTTTCCCAGATAATGGGAGATAACTCTCGTGAAGAAATTCAGAGCAAAGAGACAGCATACAAGAAGCTCAGGGGAGATGCAAAGAAGCTTGTATCACTACAGCCCTGTGTTCCAACTAACTGAGGCATTTACAACAGGGTGATCCATAGAATCTTGATGACTGCTCCTTGACTTTGAAAACGAGACTGGCAGTGGTTTAGTTCCCATTTCCTGTAAGTCCTGCAGTGTCATGTGATTGGTGTAAGTCCTCAAGCCTAGGAATGTTGATCTACTAAATGAATTGAGTAGGAGTGGACGTGTAGAAATACCTTTAGCTTTTTCACTATGCTCAGTTTATTCTAAGTCTGATTGCCTCATGTGCCTCTCTTTTCCTTTTTTTTTTTTTTTGTCACAGCTATCCAGAAGGTTTTGGTGTGGATGCAAAACCAAAGCTGCCTTCATATCACCAAATTTTCCTTGCACCTAGTGAAGAGGAAAAGGGCAGCCTGCCTACTCCAGATGATGGTAATTTATGGCACATACTGCCTTTGTCTTAAAGAGCAGGAAAGTGCCTGGCCTAAACAGTTATCACAGCAGCTTGTTCAAGGGCTACTTAATTGCCTCTTCAGTGTTTAGGCACTGCAGGCACAGCATAGAGAAAGCAAGGTTGTGCTAAACATGACTTGTGTTTGCATCATAACTTTTTAGTTAAAATTCACAGCCCGCATCCTCAAGTGGATATCGGTTTGGACATCTCTCTCGCGTTTTGTGGCCAGCATCAGTGCCCAGATACATACTATTAGTAGCTCTATTTATTTTTTCAAGGTCTGTACAGCACTTGCGTCTGTCTGTACACAGGAAGAGACATTTAGTTCTATTAAGAGAAATACTGGAATAAATTTGGGCTGGATTCAGTGTAAGGGCTGTCAACTGAAGTCTACAGCAGTGATGCTCTTTTTTTTTTTTATATGTATATTGGCTATGATACAGTGTGACCAAATAAGTCTGATTTGGAGGGAAATGCAGCAAAACAGCTCAGCACTTCCTGGAACAGCATCCTGTTGCTGTCTGTGTCAGATTGTTTCATGACTTGGTTACCTTACCATCTCTAATGATATTTGGCAACAAAAAGGAATGTCCTTTATGTGTTTTGGCATTCTATGTATGATAATAAGTTCATAAAAATTCTGACGAGATGGTTTTCCAAGGCAGAAACCAGTCAGAATCATCTGTCACTCCTACTTGTTTCTTTCAGAGAGTTGAAATATACTAAAAAAATAATGTCCTGCTGTTTTATATATTAGACTAACTAGTCTGGCTTAAAACCTATGGAGGCAGTAGACAAAATGGAGCAACTACACGGACTCCAGCAGTTACTGTGGACCATTGCTGTTCCAAATGAAATGTTTTTGCTTTGTCTGCTGCTTGACTTTTAAACAAAAAAATGATTCTTCATTTATAGTTTCTTTTGTTTGCTAGTCCATCAGGAGATTCTGAGAACAGCAGAAATCATCTGGAAGCAGCTCATTTCTCAGAGGCGGCAGGCTCTGGAGGACACTTACAAGATGGATCTTTCTGTAAAAGGAAATGACAAAGAAAGGGACATGAAGATAACAGAGATCACTCCTTTATGGGAAGAAATTATGACAAAAGCTTGGCAACACTTGATAGGTCTCTGTTCTTTTATGGAACACCAATTGTAACAAGCAAAGATATTTTAGTAAATGTAGCGCTTAACGGAAAGCCGCTGGTTCCTTGCTTATACCCTTCCTCTGCATATCACCTGCTAGATAAAACAGATTCTCATCTTCTCTCATCCAGGATTGTGATGGCTTTCTTTGCCATGCCCCAGTCCTTCTGTAATCGCTTGGTGAAGTTGTAGGGCTCATGCTGTACTTCAAGAAAGGGAAATCTCCTTAGACAACTGTAGCCCATAGGAGGATTCAACAGGGAGGACATCTGGGTGAAGAAGGGCATCCACATGTGTGTAGTCCTGCAGGGATTCAAAGTTCATGTCTGTATAATGAAACTTATCTATATGTGTAATGAAACAGACCTCTGTGAGGCTTTTAAATAAAGGCTTGAGAGGTACAGGTTTATTCAATGCTCCTGATAAACAGATGGACTATCCAGCTTGAGTGAGGGATTGCCATGTTGTTGAGTCTTGTATAATGGGGATACAAACCCTTCACCTTCCCACAGGCTTAATTCAAATCTTACAAGCTTTTTATCTGTTCTGGCCCACAGCATCTGAAAAGAAGCTTCTCCACAATAAAACAGGGCCAAGCCTGTCACAGAGCAAGCATAATTCCTGGAGTGAAAGCCTCTCTTCAGCAATTAGGTTGATGCCTGGCCGAAACACAAAGGAAATGACATGCAAATCTGAGGTAAATGTTGCTTTTTGTTTTTTTCTGGCTCTGTCACTGGCTCTGCCTTTGATGTGACTCTGGGGAGTTTATGATGCTTCTGAGTATGTCTGTTGACATATTCCATTGTAAACTAGACACCTGTTGAAGTGAGGTTCCTTTTCTAGACACTAGGAATAATAACTAAGAAATATTCATTGATCTGAAGAACTTCTGTTGGCAACCTTAACATATCATGTATTAATGCATACTTTTTCATGACACCTAATTATTGCACTTTAAAGGAAAAACCTAAGCAACCCGTGTAAGTTTGTGCTCACAAGGCTCTGCTTGGGTCAGAGCAAGGTGAGGAGAGGCTGGTTTTGCTTGTGCTTTTGAATTACACTGCTTATGTAAACCTCGTCCTTCAGATACTGAATTAGTAGAAAGGATCAGGTATTAACATAGTACTGTTGATTCATTTTCTACTCAATATAAACTATTAAAGCTCCAAATTTTTGTTTAACCTCAAGAGATAAGGAGATAAGTGCTTATATAAACCAGGGGTGGGTCTGGATGGTATGCAGCATTCCTACTGCCAGCAATGCACTTGGACTATCTTTTCCATGTGTAAGCTCCTCTTTTGCTGAGACAAAGGGCCATTTCCATGTTTTTGCTGGGCACTTGTCAAGAATACAAATAAAAAGAACCAGTTAGATGTTACTTGTTTAAGTGCATTAGGTCTAGACTAACCAGCTTTATGGCAGAGTAGCAGTATATTCACAGAATGTTCAGACCTTTGGACTGAGCTTGTGTTATTGCAGTGCTGCATTGAGGTCTTTTTTTCTCCTGTTGAGGAGACAGTCTGTTATAGCATCAGTTTAGGGAGTCTTAACCCTCTAGCTTAAGCTATAGCAGGTTGCAACTTTATCCCCAGTGATGACTGGTTCACTTCCAGGTATGTTGATCACGAAGGCTACGATACCCAGGTAATGTGTCTCATAGTACCTTACTGAGCTGCAAATTTTTTCTCAGCATGCCACAGCATCCTTCTCTTTCCTTAAAATTGTTTTGCTGCTTACAGAGTGAGCAAGTTCTTCCCAGGTACATATGTAGACTGTGATGTCATACTACAAGAGCATCGACTATTTGCCCTGGGGTCTGTTTAATTATTTTTTAAAATTAATTTTGATTATTACAGCTGATTACACCTCAGTGAGCAATGTAATTGATATTTGTAAATGTATCCCAAGGAACATTTTGTACAACATGCTTTTTGCTGTTGAAGGTTAAAGACTCTGTTATTGTTTTCTTCCCTAAATATGCCCACATCATTAGTTCCTCCAGTGAAAAGGTTGCCATCTGGAAAAGGCAGCACAGAGACATTATTCAGGCACAAGTGCATGAAATTGGTGTTTCTTTATCTTCTGTCTCTCTTCTGCAAGGAAGCGGCTTGTAATTAAAGCAGCTGGGTTTGGAGGAAACATTACTCATTTGGTGTTATTCCTTATCATGTCAAGGACTGACAGCTCCACAGCTCTGATAAATTGTTCCTCTCAATGAGATGCGAAGTTACAGTTCCAAATGTTCTTCTCCACTCTCCCTCTCCCCCTTTTTCCCTCCAGCCTATGTTTGAAAGAGTTTGATGCACCTTTCAGAGAGATGAAATCTAAGAAGAAGAATATTAATTTCTTTGCTCCTCTAGAGCCACCTTTCTTTGTACACTTCACAAGCAAGGTAGAAGGTGGGTTTTTCAGTATCAAAGGAAGTTGGGGGCACAAATTACATTAAAAGTAAGTGGTATTTGTGCTTCTAACTTGTATTTTTTACCTCACTTTGGCTGTCACTTTAAAAAGTGCTGTAATGTGATTTTGTATCATTTGTTGTGTCTCCGGTGCCTGCTGTATTCACTTGGGAAAAATCTTCAGATACTGGCCTCTGTCTTCACTATCGCTGTTTATGGACCTATGTCCTATAGCAATAGGCATCTGGTTGAAACATGGAGACAGAAAAACAAGTAGTAGTGTGAACTACACAGTGAGAGACAAAACCTTTAAATCCCATAGTAAAATAAAAATCTTTGCATTTACTGAGAGTTAAGCAGTGTTGTTCCTAAGTGAGCAAAACTTATTAAATTTAAGAAAAGTTCAGAAATTCAGCTAGAATTTCAAAGCTTTGCCCAGTAGAAAGAAGAAATTTGTTGGTTATTGAGTTATTAATTTGATTCTTTTATTGACTGAAAATAAACAAAGAAGTTGAAGCAGAAGCAGTATTTGCTGCAGATTAAAAAAACAAAAACAAACAAACAAAACAGCCCCCTCAAAATAATCAACTTTTTCCCTGTTGTCATTTACAAGATAGCAAGAGTGCCTTTGAGACCTAATCCCCAATCTGGAAAAAACAGCAAAATTCAAACTACTCACTCCAGCAAAGGATAAGCTCCATTTTAATCCCGTACTTTCACTCAGGATCTCCAGCATCAGTGAAGCCAATTCCCTGCTGTTTGGTGGGAAAAGTCAGAATTAGCAACCAAATGCAGCTGTGTTTTCCCCATATTTCTGAATTTCTTGCTACTTCTCCTCTCTTCCTCCCCCAGTCCCCTTTTCCCCCAACTTTGCTGTCAGAATCTAGGAAATGCATTTGATTTTTAGGTTAGCAATGACTGATTTTTGTCTTCTTCAGTAAGCTGCAAGAGCAGCAAGGGACCATTATAACAATCCTATTTCAGTAAATTGTTAATCGGTCAACAGCTTCTATCATGCAGTGTCCCGAGGTTCTTTCTGAGGATGAATGCCTGAGTAAGGTTACAAGCAGCATACTTCTAACTACTGTAAGACACACTGTCTCAGGGCAGTAGATAGTTGTTCTTTACAAGAAATGCAGAGCCTCCTGAGTTTTACAGCCGTCCTGATCATGCCTTTCCTGTCCTGTTTTGGTTCATTTATTACATTCCTCTATGCCAGAGACCCATATAACTTGAGCGAATGAAATAGAAAAGGTCTTCTAAATTCCAGTCTTCAGAATGAAGAGGGTAACTTGTAATTGCAAAACCAGAAACTTTATGGCAAGGTTTTGGACAGCAAACACACACTTGTGAAGACAGCTATAGATAAAAAGCCAGCATCTGACTTCCACTGTGCTGGTTTTGTCACTGCTGGTTTTGTAAGCAACAGGCAGATTGTTAAACCCACAGCAAATCTGTAAAAGATAACTGTATCAATGTGTCAGTGAGAGCCTTCTTTGTTTCTGTGGATAACTTTCTGAAGTCAGGAGCTGCAAGAAGGACTTCTTGGCTGAGACATAAGTCACTGTCAGACACAGATTCTACTTCAGTTCCTTTTGAAAATTCTTCTTAATTTTTTACAGTGTAATATTTTATTTATTTATACTGATGGCTAAGCAGTCTTGATGTACCTGCTGAAAAGAAACTGCAAGTTCATTAACTCATTTAGGAAAGCGAGTTGTATGTCCTCATCTTATCACTTAGAAAGAATAGAGTGGTATGACCAAGAACCACTTGAATTCTGCGTAGTTTCCTAACAACAGATACCCTTGGATGAAGTAATAGCAAGTGTCTCTTGGGCAAGCTCCACTGAAAGTTGTCTGCCCAGTCCTGTCTCGATAGTTAGATTCCCAAGAGGAAGAAGCAGCCTCTCAAATCTCTTCTAGGAGCTGATGTTTATTCTGAAGTCTGAGAAAGATTGAGACATGTTTCAAGCGATATATTATTTTAAAACCTTTGGTTTTAGATTTACAGGAAATTTGGGTTTTTAGAGATTTCTCATGTTTATTCACCAGGCTTCTCTTAGGCCAGCAGCTAAAATTGTTGTTACTACAGAAAATCATTTGTTTGTTATACCAAGAACAACAATCTTTTCAAATTTCACAGCCAGCATAAAATTTTAAAAGATTGTTTCACATGTAATACTCATTCTTAAGATAAATATGGCTACTGTAGCTAGTATCTCTAGTGATTCACCTGTGGTGGTAATGCATTATATTTTAAGAAGTATTTAAACATAAAATTTACATTGACTTCAGTGGGAGTTTAACTACAGGCTTAAATTCCTGCCATGCTGGAAATGTAAATGTCTACATCAACACTTACAGCAGTTTTTGAATTTCTTTTTGTTTAGTGCCAGGACTTACTTACCTAGCACAAATAGTAGCTGCATCACAGATACAGTATTAGTCCTGTCTGAGCCAGGGCTCTCACCCCACATGATTCCATCAGGAAAGAGCACTGGGACTTCATTCACTCCTGGCTGTCAGTCTTGCATCGGGCTTTTTGCAGCCATCTTTACAGGTTTTGTATTAGTTGTGGGGGAAGAGGGAGAAATGCCCTGTTTTAAATTAATATGTACAGATCATACTCACTTAGAGAGTAGTTTTAAACCAGGCTTTTCAACCAGAAGTGTTTGATGTTGAACTAGAAGGCTGATGATATAGTCCTAGGCTGTTGTCAGGGCGAAGACTCAGCCCCAGGACATAAAATCAGCATTAGCTCAAAATGCTGTGTGTCACTGGTCTTTGATTTGTGTAAGAAAGGAGCTTTATCTCAAGTTGACAGACATGAATTTACAGAGACTTGGCCACTACCACCCAAGATGTTGGTGGCAATACTAGCAGCTGAACCCTGAGATAAATAGTGGACCAGTGCCTTCAAATACTAGCTACTTCTTTCCTGCATTGTTATAGCATGTTTTAATGATTAACTATAAAATCAAGGCTAGTGCTGACCAGCCTGGGTTTTCAAACAATAGCAGAGCCACTGCATCAGAGTGGTTGTTTAGGGTGGGGAAATATGTTAGGTAGTGTAAAGGAGAATGAGGCTGAACAAAAAGAGCTTGCTCATTTGGGAGGAAAGAGGGACAAGCTCAGTTTAGCAGTTCACACTAGGTGAAATGAAGAAGATGATAGAAATATTTGAAATATTCTCACAATTATTACTTAAATATTTTTCTTACCAATCAGTTGGTCTTTTATCAACTTTTCAAGTTAAAAAAGCAAACATACAATGGTATTTCTTTGAACAGTGCATC